TATTTAAATCTTTACATGAACTGTATATTTTTGTCTAAAAGCTATTTCTTTTGTTTCTTTGTTTTTCTTTCTTTATAGATTGAAAACTACTGCATTGCATTACAATGGACGTGCAACACGGCCACATGCATCAACTGCAGCTGGTGAGCTAAGACACACCATAGTGTACCCAAAGTGCACTGCAGACTAGAGATGTAAGAAAATCTAAATATGGCAATATATTGCGGTATATTTTTCCAGCGATATTGTCTCAATATTCAAAAATACATAGAGTCAAACATAAAAAATACAAAGACTTTTATTACTCATTTGAATAAGCTGATTCAGATACGTAGTAAGTTTAACTTTTGAAACTTTTTGTTTTTTGCATTATATATTTTTTTCTCTCACATTCTTAATTTTTGTTTGATCTTCTAAGGGTTTTTCTTGAAATTATTGGCACGAATCTAATCCCATAGAAATTCCTCTTAACCTGCACACTATAGTGAATAAAGAAGAAGCTGAATCCTGTGATTAAGGATATAATGTGTTTCACCAAACACTGTACTGGGGTTTTATGGCCCAGCATCACTAGCCATTAGCATGAGAAAGGAAGAGTAACGGATTTATATTATCATTTTTCAACCATGTGTTCTAAATCCTGTATCGTTAGCAATATTCCCAATTCATTTTCAACAGATGTGCGTGCTGGTTTATCTGTGCTGTATATTCCTGTGATGGAATGGTGACCTGTCCAGGTGTGACCTTGTCCCTCACTCAGTGACAGCTGAAGACAAACACTGGTGCCCTGTGACCCTGATCAGGATCAGGGAAAACGGACTAAATGAAAGACTTAAATCATATATTTCTGACAGCTGATTGCTACACAGACACCAGATATTTAAAGGTGCAATGTGTAAGAATTCTACAGTAATCACAAAACAGTCTAATGTCTCCATCATCTTGGAAGGACGGTTACATGGAAGAAGGTTTCCTTCTCAGCTGGCTGGGCCGTTGTTGGTTTTTCTCCTTTCCAAAAACACAAAGGAGGGACGTGGTTACCATGTCTAATCTGTGAGCTCACCAGGTTGCCGAGCGGTAGTCTAACACTATTGGTTATCGCTGGGGGCTCATCTATAGGGGGGCGTTAGGGTGCCTTCCAACCAGTCTCACAGGAAGAAGAAGATAGGAATCACAATATATTAAAAAACTACATACAAATCTAACTGAACAATCTCTACATCATACAGACTATAAAGGCTGTGTATAATCTGAGTTTACAGTATAAAAATGTTATGTCACACTTTTACCGCAACCAAATTGTCCTGTGAAGTATTTCCTGCTCCTTTTGGGTGCAGCAATCTTTACCAGTTATTTTGTTCTATTTTGGTGTGTTTTCAGGTCTTTTGGGATGTTCACCTTGGGTTCCCATTACCAGGGATGTGTCGGTTAATGTTCTGCTGGTGATATATTTGGTGTTAATTTTGCATTGTGAGTAGCAGTTCCATTTGGAGGAATGGGACTGCAGTGCCGTTCATTTGTTTGGTTTAGAAGTTCACGGTAATTGTCAGTTCCTGTGTCCTTGCTATTGATATTGCTCCCACACAAAAGCATCAAGAACTTGGGCCAGCACAGAGATTAGATATTGGTCTGTAGTTAGTTAAAACCACTGGGATCACCTTCTTTTAATAAAGGAACAACAAGAGCTGATTTTCATACCGAGGGAATTTCAGTTTTCTCTAATGTGATGTAAAATTTGTTTGTGAGAAGCTCCACCACAAAATCAGCTGCCAGTTTCAAAAGGTAAGGATCTAGTAAACCCGGTCCAGAAAATGTTCTATGACTGAATGCTTTAAGGGCTTTGGTAATTTCCTACACAAACCAGTAAACAGTGAAAGGTCTGTGCACCATTTTCTGAAACCTGTCCTAGAGAACCAAACAGAGTCAGAAGTGTTTGATGAAGCAGCTCATAGTTTCTCATCTTATCATAAACAGAGGCAGAATCTTGTAAACGTAGATGGGTCAAGCATGGCAGCTTTTGCTCGCTGTGAGATTGAATGGTTTCTGTGAATTAGAGTATCAGTGGTGACAGATATACAATATTCAACCTTAACTTTGTTGATGAAAGGTGAATTTGTTTCTTAGTTGTCTGAAAAGAAGCCGTCACTGAGATGACCTGTTTTTCTAGGTTTGGCCAAGACCAGTTTCTATATGTATGGTGTCTGCCAGCTTGGGGTTTATCTTAAATCACACTAAAGCTAGTGTTCGTAGCATGATGTCATCAAGTAGAGGAGGAGGAGAGCCCACTTCTCCTCCCCCTACCTTTCTGGTTGTAGCTGGAAACCAAGCATGATGCTGCGCACATGCACACAAATAGCCTTGTAATGCTAACAAAGAGGTAATGTTTTCATTTTTCTGTGTTTCCACATGTGGTTATAGCAGCTGAACTATCTCCTCAGCCTTCATCAGATTCTGTAGGACAGAGAATTCTGCTGTTATGTCCTTGGGCAAGACACTTAACCCACCTTGCCTGCTGGTGGTGGTGGGAAGGACCGGTGGCGCCTGTGCTCGGCAGCCACACCTCTGTCAGTGTGCCCCAAGGCAGCTGTGGTTACATCATGGCTCATCACCATCAGTGTGTGAATGTGTGTGTGAATGGATGAATGATGCACTGTAGTGTAAAGTGCATTGGAGTCCTTACTCTGAAAGGCACTATACAAGTGCGAGGCAATTATCATTTATCATTTGCTAATCACTCATTTTAATCAAAGCTGCAGTGTTAAAGCAGGGAAACACACAAAACCCGCAGTCATGAGTGTAGCCCTCCCTGCTTTAGCTACAATGGGCTACAACAATAGTCTATTCGCGCTGAAAAAAAAAGATTTTTTTCTAAATACCCAATAAATCGTCTAAAATGGGACTAAATATTTTTGTTAAAGAATTAAATAAATTATAATGATTAATCCTACCTATTTTATTTAATTACCAAATAGAACAACTGCACATGTTGGCCAGCGTATCTGTGTACAGTTATGCGCTGTATTGGCTTTCCCATTCGTGTAGTTATAGTCACGGACACAAATTTTTTAGGGAAATTTTTCATTATGTTTAAAAAAATGTTGAGCAACAGTGAATGCAGTTTTAGTTCAGCCTTTGCTAAAAAGAAATGTCCTACTTTTGTATTGCTTTTGGCTGAATAAATTCTTACTTATAACAGTATTGCATTGGGATAGCTCAGAAGGTAGAGCAGGTCTAGTCCAGTGACCGAAGGGTTGTAGGGTCGATCCCAGCTTCAGCATGTGTGTCCAATGAGTTCATTATTTTCTAGCTTAGAAAATTTACCTAAACATGCCAGTTAGATTCCATCCAATTCCTTTAGGTTTTTTCTTAATTTTGAACATTAGGTACTATTTACACACATTTATGGGGTATAAATTCACTGATCAAATTGTTACCTCAATTTTTCTGAGTAGTTTCTGTAGATTGCTTTTTATAGTGTGTAGCACAAGGTTGAATACTTCACTATCACTTAGCTCCAATACACAAAAGATAAATGGGTTTTCATTTCCCTCCCACCTCTTCAAGTTAACTTCATTAACTTCATTAACTCAGTACAGGTCAAGTTAGCATTCATGCTAGGTTGGTGTGCATCTCATAATGCATGCTGGGAACTGGGGTGCGTTCTTACCGACACAAATCTATTGGTCAACACTCTAGGCTCACTTGAATGATTTGTTTTGCTGTGGAGGTCAGGGGAGGGACTTGGGAGAAATATGAATTACAAAACTTGACCTACTTTATATCATTGGGCAGGATCATATAGTCAAATTTAAGCATTTTTAAAGTTACTTTAACCCTCCAGGAGTGAGCACCACCTCACCCCTGCCACGTGGACCTCAAGGGATAAACCATCAACCCTGCTCAATGGCCAACTTTCTTCGCGGGGTCACCCACAAAGACAGTAGGAGGGTTAAAACTGTTCAACTATGTACCCTAGGTTTAAGGGGGCATATTTATGTACAATTTGTTTGTTATGTTGAAGACAGCTGAGCAATGGCGCAGTGGTTAGAGCTGTTGCCTTGCAGCAAGAAGGTCCTGGGTTCGCTTCCCGGCCTGGGATCTTTCTGCATGGAGTTTGCATGTTCTCCCTGTGCATGCGTGGGTTCTCTCCGGGTTCTCCGGCTTCCTCCCACAGTCCAAAAACATGACTGTTAGGTTGAATGGTCTGTCTTAACTGTGTGTGTGTGTGTGTGTGTGTGTGTGTGTGTGTGTGTGATTGTTTGTCCTGTGTGTCTCTGTGTGTCTCTGTGTTGCCCTGCGATGGACTGGCTCTCTGTCCAGGGTGTACCCCGCTTGATTGCCCATTGAAATGGTAAATGGTAAATGGCCTGTATTTGATATAGCGCCTTCTAGAGTTCTTGAAAACCCTTAAGGCGCTTTACAACACAATCAGTCATTCACCCATTCACACACACATCCACACACTGGTGGGGATGAGCTACAGTGTAGCCACAGCTGCCCTGGGGCGCACTGACAGAGGCGAGGCTGCCGAGCACTGGCGCCACCGGTCCCTCCGACCACCACCAGCAGGCAACGTGGGTTAAGTGTCTTGCCCAAGGACACAACGACAGCGACAGACTGAGCGAGGCTCGAACCTGCAACCTTCTGATCACGGGGCGAGCACTTAACTCCTGTGCCACCGTCATCCATTGACCGCTGGAGATACGCACCAGCCCCCCCGCGACCCTGTGTGGACAATGCGAGTTCAGAAAATGGATGGATGGATGGTTGAAGACATAACTTCTACAATGTTTTGACTTGGGCACCTAGTCACAGCAACAACACAACTAGTCATTGTAAAAGTCACGCTGAGATAAAAGTTTGTGGAATTATGCATTTTTAAACAGCAACCCCACATTTTTATGGATAAGTTATGTTGAAGACATAAACGTTATAAACGTTAACCTGAATGAGGGGAACCAACCTGAATGAGGGGAACCAATAAAAGACAAGAACTTTACCTTAGCCTCCTTGATGCCTGGACACAGTTTACAGACGGTGGTGACAGCCACATCCTCCGATACAATCCCATACCCATCTTCATCCACCTGTGAGAACTCTGCTGCCAGCCACTCCATCCTCATCTTGTTTCCAAGGCTGCCTTCTACTGTCACACCTCCTCCATCACCTGGTCCTCCTCCCACTCCCCCAACTCCTCCCCCAGCCCCTCCAATGATTGAAGGGTGGGCAAGAAGGTAACGCAGGCCTGTCACCCAGATGTTGGCCACATCTGCTGATAGTGCTACCAAGTCTAGAGACTGTAGGAAGTGATACAAAAGGATCAGTTTCTAGAGCAGAATGGTGAGATTTTCTGTACGATACACCTCTTGTAAATAATGGAGCTGTTACCTGGTAGTCATCCCCATGTATTATGGAGAAAGCTGCTTCCTCCGCCAAGTGATCAGACAGAGGACCATTATGGAGGAAAGTCTCTGTGCTCTTTCCTGTGCGGACCTCCCGAATACTGAAAACGTCCAGCCGTGCCCGGTCTGCGTCTTTCTTAGATGGCTCCCAATGAAGGCAGCTCAGGTCTGTGTCCAAGGTGTAAAAACGACAGTAAACTCTGGAGTTGGGTCGGATCTTCTTTAGTTCACACCCGCCTTGCATAAATGCCAGGCAGTCAGCTGCACTGCTCACCTGAAATAACAAAGTATCCACAATGTTAACAACAAAGGCTGTTTCTGTATATATATATATATATATATATATATATATATATATATATATATATATATATATACATAGATACATATATATATATATATATACACACACACACATATACATTTACGTGAGGGGGCAAATTTTTCAAGATGGGTGGTGACCATGGTGGCCATTTTGAAGTCAGCCATCTTGGATCCAACTTTTGTTTTTTCAAGAGCAAGAGGGTCATGTGACACATCAAACTCATTGGGAATTTCACAATAAAAACCAATGGTGTGCTTGCTTTTAACATTACTTTATTCTTTCACGAGTTATTAACAAGTTTCTCTTTGTTCCCAGCCATTGACATGATGAAGGGGTTAACACGTAAAGAGTGAATTGAAATTGTGTTGATTTCTAGTGAACACAGTAACCGGGTCATTGCAGAGGATTTCAATGCAAGACACCCTACGAGACCACCCATCTGCATTCTACAGTTAGCAAACTGCTTGCTAAGTTTTGTGAAACGGGTTCAGTGTTGGATTTATATACGAGAGAGAAAGAGAGAGAGTACCTTCTTCTCAGATGGCATGCTGCTGAAGGACACGGTCTTCTTCCTGCCTCCACCAACTTTCTGCGCTGAAGGATCCTGGGAACACAAAGACAAACAAAGCAGCAGCAGGTCAGTCATGACAAATCCCTGATTCATAATCTAAACCACAAGATAAAAGTATTGATCCAAGTTGACCGTGCAAGTGCAGAACCAGAAACGTTCTAATAGAATGTTTTGTTCATCTTGTAGAATACGGACCTAACAAAGAACTGGCAAAGGACATGAGGAGAAAAAAGCTCTGAATTCATACTGTTAGAAATGTAGGCCATACATTTGCTAAGTAAGAAGAAAGATACCTGAGAATCTTAAAATGATTGCACTTATAAGAAAACTTTGACATCATAGAATAATATTTTATCAGAAGCTGGGACTGCTGGTGAAAAATTGCCCAAAGACATTTCCAGAATGCCATGAAACATCTCAAGATCTTATTATCTACTAATCTGAGTTCCAGTGGCGTGTCCAGATCTTTTAAAATGGGGTGGCCCAGGTGAGGCACAACTTTGTGCATGAGTGGCACCAATGGTTATGCTTTTTTTGCTTTACCCCCAAGCCTTTGTGGACAATGAAAAGCCTATTTAAAGGTAAATTAGTGTGGTGGCACCTGGGGTGGCCAATCAGATTCCAAGGGTGGCATGTGCTACCCCAGGCCACTACCTGGACACGCCCCTGTGTGGCCTTGGCTGCAAGGGAGGGCGGGGCCATGAACACTAAATTTCCCAGTGACATAGAAGAGACTGTCTCTTTTTGACCCAACCATTTTCTCATCTATTTCCTGTCTGTGCCTAATACGGGGGGGGGGGGGGGGGGGGGGGTCACGCTCAGCATGCAGAGACCAATCGTAATTTCAAATATTACGCAGTTTCTCATTGAACAAGACCTTTGATTTCCATAATGTAAAATTTACAGAAACCTTTTGAAGAATGTTTCTACAGTGGGCAGAAAAACCAAGATAAGAACATTATACAGCACACAAATGTGCAGAAACCTAGCAGTAATTACCCTTGAAAAAGAAGCAAAGACTGTCAAAAAAAGAGGAAAGGTTGACAGTTGGTGGCTCGTTGCTTTTGCTACACAAACACTGATTGATTTCCAATTCAATTACTTCAAAAGCTGGAAAAGGAAGACAAGCGAGACAAGGCAAATTAAGAGAATGAGCCTGAAAGGAAAGTTGGAGAAACAACCAATCCAGAGTAAATGAAGACTGTAGCCCTGGGACTGAATGAGAAAAATAAAACACAGATGATAGATGTAAGAGTGAAGGATGAAAGAGAACAAATGAACAAGGTTATTGTGCTGGAGCTCAGCTAGTGGAGTGGCTGTGGCAGCTGGCTCTTCACCTGCATGGGTAAACTATTCAAACAGTGCAAAGGATGGTTGAAGCAGAGCCATGAGTGGATATGGAGAATAAAACACACACACACACACACACACACACACACAAGGCGGCAGTACAAGAATGAATAACGATCCGCACTTGTATAGCGCCTTTCAGAGTCAGAGGACTCCAAAATGCTTTACACTACAGTGCATCATTCATCCATTCACACACACATTCACACACTGATGGTGATGAGCTACGATGTAGCCACAGCTGCCCTGAGGCACACTGACAGAGGCGAGGCTGCCGAGCACAGGCGCCACCGGTCCCTCTGACCACCCCCAGCAGGCAAGGGGGGTTAAGTGTCTTGCTCAAGGACACAACAGCAGATTTCTCTGTCCGAAGCCGAAATTGAACCTGCAACCTTCCGATTACTGGATAACCCGCTCAACCTGTTAAGTTACTGCTGCTCCAAAGAAATTAGTATGGTCATCACAGCAGCACAGATGGGCCCGCAGGGTGGCTGGGTACCATGTTCTCTTCCATTTATTATTTTATTATTAGATTATTTTGATTAAAAACAGAAAAAGTCACTCTTAATTTAAATAATTATGTCCACTCCCCAAGACTCCCGACGACTGGAAGCAGACTTTTTGTACTAATTATGTCTAAACATGTTAACATGACAGTCAGAAGATGTTGTTTTGGAGGCAGCTGGACTGCTTTCATGTGGCGTAAAGGAATAAAATGTGCATTTTCAAGTTGCACACCAAGACCGACCAGCAAAAACAATAAATGTTTCTTCTGTTTTCTAAAGTGTGTTTTCGCCCAATTGAAGAATTATGGCAAAAATAAAATATTATTTTTGTTATTTTTCCCTTTAGCATGGACAAAGACTGTGGTTTTATTTATGCCTTTCCTCCAAGTGTCTTAGCTGCCCTCCTGGTGTGAGGTATAGACAACACAACCACCTGCTGGCTCCAAACCTGTTACACCACCTTTGATACACATTTCTAGCAGAGTTGCATAGATTTTATATGGAATGATGTTAAAAGGCCTGTATTCGATATAGCGCCTTCTAGAGTTCTGGAACCCCTCAAGGCGCTTTACAACACAATCAGTCATTCACCCATTCACACACACATTCACACACTGATGGTGATGAGCTACGATGTAGCCACTGCTGCCCTGGGGCGCACTGACTGAGGCGAGGCTGCCGAGCACTGGCCCCACCGGTCCCTCCGACCACCACCAGCAGGCAACGTGGGTTAAATGTCTTGCCCAAGGACACAACGACAGCGACAGACTGAGCAGGGCTCGAATCTGCAACCTTCCGATGATGGGGCGAGCACTTAACTCCTGTGCCCACCGTCGCCCAATGTTAAAGATGGTAGGACTGGATTCAGCTGGTGTCTCAAACAGCAAGTTTGAAAGAGAGCAGACTTAACTGAAAATCACGTGTGAGGTGCTTTAAAAAGCCTGCAGAGGCTTTTAAAAGAGGCTTGAAGCATTTTGGCGAGGAAAGGAACCGGGCTGACTGCTCTCTGTAAACAGAACCTGACCAAATGAAGATGGACAACTTCCACAACCATTTTTTCCCAAACCTGGTTTCTGTCATGAATGTTCTTTTCATCAGTCCATTTTTGTTGTAGTGCTCATATTTTTCATCAGTTTAATATTGACTGAAGAAAATAGTACAAAAGAATAAAATATGAAAAAGGAAAATGAGCAGCAGCTCCTGTCAGCATTCACACTAGCAGTAATTACTCTGGAAGAAAGGCCGCTACAATTGCACACTTTAGTCCTCTGGACATTTTCCTGAAGGCTGGGTAGAAAATCTGAAAAACTACATACAGAGTGAATACAACAATAAATGATCTGTGTTTGCACATGACACCCTTCTGTAACATCTCTACATGCACATCTTTATTATTAGTATGGGTATTATTATAGCAGCTGTATACAAAGCGCTGCAGTCACAGAAGACAAAGTCTAAAAACAACAAGAAGCAATAAAAACATAAACATCATGGAAAGATTATCAATTTAAAAAGCACATTAGAGAACAGTTAAACAAAGGTAGATAAGACATAAAACTGTCATCTGTCCATAACAATTTAACCTTTAAAGTGACAGTGTGTATTTCCCCTGGCGAAAGGGGGCAGTATCTCAGTATTTTTGTGTTTGAGTAAGACCTTACCAACAGATGGCCATTAGGGTCAAAAATCCCTGGGAGAGCAACCTCCAGCTAAATGAGAAGCACACCAGACTCCCTTTCATCAGTGGCAACGAGTGAAGAGGTAAACGTGTAAAACAGCGTTGATGAATGGTGAACGTTCTGTAACCGTTTGTTACAAATCAGTATAAGCGTTTTGTCCTCACGGGTTCCCCAAATGTAAACATGGCGTCTAATATGGCACTGCCCAGAGACTGGATCCGCTCCCATGTATTTTAGACCCGTGGTTTTATGTTACTAAGCTGCAAACATTTTCTAACAACTGGGCATCAAACAATTCTTTTTCACCAAGATTTTGATGGATACTTCCAGAGATTAATGGAAAAACTACACATTGTCTATTTAAAAGACTGAGTTAAAAAATTGGTTTTCAGTTTAGCTTTAAACTCATCAACCGAGTATTCCTGTCTGATGTCCTGAGGTAAAGTGCTATAGGAACGGAGCATGGATAGCAAAACCATACCTAAAGTTTGCCATTTCAATCACGGAAATGTAAACAGCTGCATTTAGCACTAGTTGGAGAAGTTAAAAACTTTCCATGGGAAGTCAAGAGAAGAGTGCACTGCAATATTCAATCACTGTGGTGACAAAAGCATGAACAAGGACTTCTGAATCAGAATCAGAAGGGTTTTATTACCATACGTGGGAGAATCACAACATTAGGAAATAGCTGCATTACTTGGTGCAAAAAAAGAAAGATAAAAATAAGAGATGAGCAAATATATAGGAAGTAAGAAAATAATCATGATAAAATTATCATATAAAGTGGCAATACTTAGAGAAACGGCTACTGTTTAGGTACTAGTCGAAGCGGATCAGTTCAGGTACAAACACAACACCGGGTCATGTGACTCTAACCAAGCGACAGGAGTAGGCAGCCCTAGGATTGTCGTTCATGTTCTTGTAGCGAGACATTCTGGTCTGAATGGATCTGACCCTCCTGCCAGATAGGAGAGAGTCAAAAAGACTGTTTCCAGGGTGACACGGATCAGCTGTGATCAGACCTGCACCCCTCAATGTCCCGCAGGTGTACAGGTCCTGTATGGAGAGGAGTTTGCAGCCAATGACCTTCTCAGAAGAAGACAATCTGTATGCCTCTCGAGATAAAAATCAAGAGGTGCTTCACAAAAAAAAAAAAAAGAATTATAAAAATAAATTCATAGTAAAGTATAAAAAGATTTTTAAAATGAGTAAAATATTAAAAGGAGAAAAGAACAAAAAACATAAGGAAAGGGAGAGAGAAAATGAATAGGAAATAGGAAAATCAAGTCGGTCCTGGGAAAGGCAGAATAAGAGCAGAATAAGGAGAGGGTGATGAAGGTCACACAAGAACCAGCTTGAACAGGTGAGTTTTCAGCTGCTTTTTAAAGGAGTCCACTGAGTCCACTGATCTCAGGCTCAGGGGGAGAGAGTTCCAGAGTTTGGGGGCCACAGCAGCAAATGATCTGTCACCTTTGGTCTTTAGCCTGGTGCTGCACAA